AGACCCAAATCAGACCAAGGTTGACCCACAAATTTACGTGATACCTTTGAGCACAATGTATGGACATCAACATGCTAGTCGCATCTGATCTAACCAGTCAAACAAACTTTTCTTACATTCAATAAGCATGGCACAGCACTGGAATGAGATAGGAGTAACAAAAGAGCCAAACAATAAAGCACATTTACCCACACTTGCTCTTCATTGTTTACTGTCCTGATTTCGTTGCACTGGTGACATCAGCATTGCTAATGATGGTGTCACTGGACATGCAGCAGGAGCGTGACAGACGGGGGTCAGACCTGGCCTTACTGCCAAATCTGAGATAATCCAAACACCGATTGAAAGTGAATCGACCCATGTTTGAAACCCATGCTAACCCGCTATTTCAGTGGGAAAGAGGCTTTACTATTATTAACTATATGTGCTCTTTCATCCTCTGACATGTAAACTGGCTAAGAGCTCATCTGCCTGGCTGTATCTTTCCTGGATGGGGCCAACTTACTTTTTGTATTTCTGCTTCTTTTTGTATGCCTGCTTCTGTTCCCTGGAACCCAAATCGGCCTCAACAGATTGCCGCTCACACACTGCCTGATTCATGTTATAAGGCAGTTTTCCATTCCACTGTCACTACATGCATGCTTGGTGTGAGGGATTGCATAAGAGTAAATGAGTTGCTGCCATCAGCTGGTTTTCCTTTGATAGAAACCTTTGAACATATCTGACTGTATGATCTGGTTGACTTGTCTCTGTAAAGTGCCTTGACATATGAATTATATTGGTGAAATATAAATAAACTAAATTGATTTGACTTATGGACTAGAAGAAATATCTTAAAAGAAATGTAGGGTGCTATCATTCAAGAGTGAAATAGGGATGGTACAGAATATCACATATATATATATATATATATATATATATATATATATATATATATATATATATATGTATGTATAAAGTCTTCGGTACTTTATTACTTAGTCAGTAATTTGTTAGAGAGGCTATCAAGTAGCTGACACTGAAGAAAAAACACCATAGTTACCCCTTGTTTTCTATGTCTAAATGGGACAAGATATTGTTGTCCTTTTTAGATGAACTTATTTTTAGGGTTTTTAAAAAACAAGTTTTTTGGGGTTTAAAAGAAAACAACAACCAGGTATTGATAGATATTTCTGAAGCTTTGTGGAAGAATATGTGATGCATTTTTTAGATTAATAAAATTATGAATAGTTTCAAACGCCAAAAGTTCTGGCAGAAATACTTCTGATGTCGGCCAAAAATGAACGGGGTCGCCTAAAAGGGATGTCAGCGAAAGCTTTCCTAACAACTTCTTTGACATGAAAACTTTCATAAAATAGTGTGGACAAACACTCCAAAGTGAAGATGGGATCAGTTCCTACTAAGGAAGAGCAATATTTTTTGGGGGGTTTTTGTTGGGTTTTTTGTTTTTTATCAAAAAATGCTTTAATAAAAAAGATTTTTCTGTGGATTTACACATTTACAGTATGCACCCAGACTATTGCATTTTTCAGCCCCGAGCAGAAGTGTTTCTCTCTTTTTTTTTTTTTTTTTGTCTCATTAAAGGAACATACTAAATAACCAACTGAAGAAAATTTGCAAAAAGCACAAATATGATGCTTCATTAATGAGTTTTTTTTCTATTGTTTTAGCAATAATAGTCAGTAAAAATTATGTTTCGACAACATTACTACTTTCAGTCTTATTGGTAACCCTTCAGTCAATAGTTATGTCAGTATAAAGCACTTAACATTTTCCAACAATGTATTACATCAGTGAAGCAGATGGAGAGATCTTTAACCATTCATCTTTACAAAATCTCTCTAAATCAGTTCTTGGCCATTTTTTGTTCTCTCTTCTCTCCAGCTAAAGCCATGGAATTTGGAATTAGGGTCAGGAGACAAAGATTGCTGTACTGAATTAACTTTTGTTGCCATTTGTTGTTGATTGTTATACCATTAAATGTTTGGTAGACTCAGCTTTTTTTTTTTCATTTTTGTAATATTGGGTGCATAGTGTTTTACAATCTAATTTCCAGGATCTAAAAAAGACAAACCTCCCCACAGCATCACTAACCATCCACCATGCTTAACAGCGGATATAAGGAGCTTCTCTAAATAATCATAATTTCTTTTAATATAGTTTTCTGGTCTCTACTAGTCAAAGCCCACACTTCCAGTTGAATTCCATCTAATGATTTACAAACTGTTCACAGTATATTAGAGAAAAAAGATAAAGGTTTTTTATCTTATCTCACAAGCAATGTTTATTAAATGAAGCTGCCATTTTTGTTTTCATTTTACAAAAATTAAAGCTGAAGATTTTTTACTTACTATCCTGCCTGCTTTCTTCGGTGGCCACATCAATCTTGGTCCTCATCCAGCCAACTGGCCAGTAAATACAATAAATTGGTGTATCAAGTAATATTTATTACTGAGAGAAACCAAAGCTATGAATCACGTATTAGAAAAATAATACGTCTAAGCTTTAGATAATTAAAATGCAGTTTTTATTTTAAAAGTATAGTTTCAGGTACCAACAATTGTGCCACCAGTATTTTGTTGCTTTAATTTTTTAAGATTGGATTCCCCTTGTTACTACTCAGTCCTTTGTTTAAATGTTGATTTTTACCACAGTTGGGCACCAATATATATTTCTGCATAAGCATAACAGAAAAACAACCTGTTATTCTTTGTTGTATTTGGCCATTAGATTTTTATGTAATTCTTTTTGTATGCATTTAGCCCTCTAAAAGTTGTCCAATTTCAAAACTTTGGAAATTTTAAAGGTACTTTTTTATATCCTAACTGTGATGTTTAAAATGTACAACGTTTGTATTATAAACCAGCCCATGAGAATGTTTGTGGTGTCAGTAAAACTGGCAGAAGCTCAGATGCTGTGCCCTTTTCTTTCCTTTGTCATTTCAAGAAGTTTAGTAGTTGCCGCTTAAATGTGTTAGAAAACTTCTTCCACTGCATCCTGAGGAAGGCAAACACAGCGGGTGCATGAATGCCATTTTTCTGCAAAGAGGATGTTGGGATTTCCGTCCATTGTTTTTCACTGGGAACACCATTATCAGTGTTGTTGTTCCTAATCATTGCATTAGGAAACGGTGCAACAAACAGAAGGTCCAGGCAATGATGAAAGGCATATCTCTAAGCTGATGATCCTATCACTGTAAAACATATGTGCAGGTTTACTTTTAGTGGTTTTCTTTTCACAATGCGATGCTGATTATATTAGTTTTTGTCTAAGTAGGCTTACATAAACATATTCTTCAGTCATAATACAGTGCAGATAGTGCAACACTATTTGGCAGATAGATACATTTGATAGGTTGCAATTGTTGGACAAGCAGCTAAAGATATTTTAAAATAAGAGAACAAATGGTTGCTAGAAAGTGGCCACATTTCAAGATGAAACACTTCTATTTTTGTTTGTCTTACAAATGACCCGATGCAAATTTACGCATTTACAGGAGACCCCTTCGTTTTCACTTTGGTTTGCTTTGCATGAAACAGCAACCTTGATGGGGCTATAAAACACCACGGTTGGGTGGCTTTCCTCACCGTGAATTGCCCCACATCCTTTGGGAGTTGTGGTGGAGTGGTGGCTCTTGCTAGGTGATGAGGGGAGCAACTTGAATGAAGGAAATGAAGTTAGTGAAGTGAGTGGGGTCAAATGAGCAGGAAGAGGCGAAGTCCACCACAGAGCCTGGCTTCTCTTTAATGTTTCACATAATACAGACATAAAGGAATTTTTACATCAGCTCTTGGGTTCATTAATATGATATTATTTTATCAATGTCGCTGATTTCTGTAGTATTTTAGTCCTTTAAACCATTGATCATGAGTCCCACTGGCATTATTATAATTATTAATTTTTCAGATCAAGTTCCACCAGGTTTCATTCTATTAATTTTGCATATATTTTGTTCATATTAGAAGCTTGCCTTACAGCTATGGAGCCCAGTGTTTCCACAAGTAGTGGTTACCTCTATAAGCAAAGTGTCCCACTGCTCAGGACACTATTCTGTCAGTTTTGGACTAAGCATTTGGGTAAGGGATGCTGTAAGATGATGAGACTTCATGTCTAATTTGAATCTGTTAATTCAGATATACAATAAGGGCTATGTTAATGCCATTGTATTTTCATCTTTCTTTTTATTTATCTTTTGTATTTTTTGTAAAATGACCTTGAGTGTCAAGAAAGGCGCTGTTAAATAAAATGTATTATTATAATTATTTCATCTGTGAAGCAGGAGGGTGGAAGCACTGTATGTGTGATGCTGGAAACAGGACTAGTTGGCATTACTAAAACAGATAAAAGAATACGAGGAAGTAAATAGTAACATAGAGAAGGATTTTCAAGATGAACAATGACACAAAGCAGGTTATGAAATTATTAAGTAGCTTAGGGCCAGCAAAGTAAATATTTTCATTACAGAGCACAATCAAATACTTAAAGAATCTCATTGCCATAATTGAAGGTCTTAGCAAACAAAAATATGTTTTGTTTTTTTTAACCAAAATTACAGTCTTTTTTTTATACTAGGAGGTAAGAAAAACGTTATATCTTAAACTATTCTTTTACTCATGTGAGTGTATTTGCCTACAGTGATGCACATAGGATGAGGATGACCTGCCCTCAGGTCGATTCATTTCAGAACCACACTCTTATTGCACATTTTTCTAATTTTACCTGGTTAGGTTTGCAGTTTACAGGCTGTTGTTCTTTTTACAGTTGTAAAGTTTTCCAGGTTCTGTTGTCACATCATCCCTCCGTGACGCATCGCGACACTTTGCTTATTTGTATTGTTCTTTTGATAAAAAGACAATAAAGCTATTTAAGGCAAGGTTTAATTCTTATCACCACATAAAGACTTTAAAAATCAGATTTATGAGGCTCCTTCTCCCTCTTGCCTTCTCTCTTATTTCATGGTTCAGTTGCCTCACACTGCAAGCAAAGGGGAGGTTTTCACTCTCTGCTTATTGGCCGCAGATCTCTCGTCTCAGCAGCATTTCCATTCATGCGCCAGGCGCTCTTTCAGACACCATTTTCAAAAAATAACTCTGTCATCATCGTTGGAAAACACCTTCGACTCCGGACGGGACTAATTATCTCCATTTGGAAGAGTGGTGATTTTCTAGTGCAAAAGAAAAACGTCAATAAGAGATCAACCGGAGTAAAGACAGGTGAGTGGCTCGTTTTCGTGAAGCTGTGCTGGGTAAAGAAGACAATAAATCATTTCCGCGTGTTTGTTTTTATTGATGCACCGCCAGGCGCTCGAAATCCTGGCTCCATCCTTCACTTTTTTTTTCTTTTGATTTGTTGTTGTTTTATAATTGTGCAGAACATGTTTGTTTTTTTTATAAGTGCGAAGCAGAAGTGAAACTGACTTAATGCGCCTGCTTTATTGCATTGCTTGTTCCGATTTGACTTATTCAGTTGCATTTCATATTTCTATAAGTAAAGGTTTCAACTTTGTCTTGACTTTTTGTTCTCAAACGTCTCGTGTCGGAGGTAAAAGAGAGAGAGAGAGAAAAAAAAAAAGTATGGATGCATATCAGCTAAAACTAGTTGGCTCTCCTTTATGATGGATAACGGCAAGGTAAAGATGCTTAAAATGTAACACTAGAGGGGTTCCCGGCCCACGGGGCTGTCTCAGAGGAAGGTTCTTGCCGTTATTCACCAGTCCTCCTCTGCTTAATTGGCTGCAGATGCGGTGTCCTGTAGGGCCTTTTTTACCGTCTGGAAATCAGATGCGTTTTTGGTTAGTTTCTGTGCGTCTGCATGTGAAAAAAAAGTATGAT